TGCAGGCCACAGTTTGCTTTTACTTGGAGGGGTGTCCAGTTCACTTGGAACCGACTGCCCCAGGGGTGGAAACACAGCCCTACCATTTGCCATGGACTGATCCAGAATGCACTGGAACAGGGGGAAGCTCCAGAACACCTGCAATACATTGATGACATTATTGTGTGGGGCGATACAGCGGAAGAAGTCTTTGAGAAAGGGAGGAAAATAATCCAAATCCTGCTGAAAGCCGGTTTTGCCATAAAACGGAGTAAGGTCAAGGGACCTGCACAGGAGATTCAATTTTTGGGAATAAAATGGCAAGATGGACGTAGACAGATCCCCACAGATGTGATCAACAAGATAACAGCAATGTCTCCACCAACTAATAAGAAAGAAACGCAAGCTTTCTTGGGTGCAGTGGGGTTCTGGAGAATGCACATCCCAAATTACAGTTCGATTGTAAGCCCTCTCTATCATGTGACCCGGAAGAAGAATGATTTTAAATGGGGCCCTGAGCAGCACCAAGCCTTTGAGCAAATTAAACGCGAGACAGTTCATGCAGTAGCCCTTGGACCAGTCCGGACCGGACCAGATGTAAAAAATGTGCTGTACACTGCAGCTGGGGAGAACGGTCCTACCTGGAGCCTCTGGCAGAAAGCTCCAGGGGAGACTCGAGGTCGACCCCTCGGCTTTTGGAGTTGGGGATATAAAGGATCTGAGGCCAGCTATACCCCAACTGAGAAAGAGATACTGGCAGCCTATGAAGGGGTTCGAGCTGCTTCGGAAGTGATTGGCACTGAAGCACAGCTCCTTCTGGCACCCCGGCTGCCCGTGCTGGGCTGAATGTTCAAAGGCAGGGTCTCCTCTACACATCATGCAACCGATGCTACATGGAGTAAATGGGCTGCACTAATTACACAACGAACTCGAATAGGAAATCCCAGTCATCCAGGCATTCTAGAAGTCATCATGGACTGGCCAGAGGGCAAAGATTTCGGAATGTCACCAGAGGAGAAGGTGATGCGCGCTGAAGAGGCCCCACCATATAATAAACTGTCAGAAAGTGAAAAGCAGTATGCCTTGTTTACTGATGGCTCTTGCCGTATTGTGGGAAACCATCGGAGATGGAAGGCAGCTGTATGGAGTCCTGGACGACAAGTTGCAGAAACTGCTGACGGAGAGGGTGAATCGAGTCAGTTTGCCGAGGTGAAAGCCATCCAACTGGCCCTGGACATTGCTGAACGAGAAAAGTGGCCAGTACTTTATCTCTATACTGACTCATGGATGGTGGCAAATGCCCTGTGGGGGTGGTTGAAGCAATGGAAGCAGAGCAACTGGCAACGCAGAGGTAAACCCATCTGGGCTGCTGCACTGTGGAAAGATATTGCTGCCAGCGTGCAGAACCTGGTGGTGAAGGTACGTCATGTAGATGCCCATGTACCCAAGAGTCGGGCCACTGAGGAACACCAGAACAACCAACAAGTGGATAAAGTGGCTAAGATTGAAGTGGCTCAGATGGACTTAGATTGGCAACGTAAAGGTGAATTATTTTTGGCCCGGTGGGCCCATGACACTTCAGGCCATCAGGGCAGAGATGCAACATATAGATGGGCCCGTGATCGAGGGGTGGACTTAACAATGGACACTATTGCCCAGGTTATTCATGAGTGTGAAGCATGTGCTCCAATTAAACAAGCCAAGTGGTTAAAGCCTCTTTCGTATGGAGGACGATGGTTGAAGTATAAATATGGGGAGGCCTGGCAGATTGACTATATCACACTGCCACCAACCCGCCAAGGCAAGCGCCATGTGCTTACCATGGTGGAAGCAACCACCGGGTGGCTGGAAACATACGCCGTGCCCCATGCCACTGCCCGGAACACCATCCTGGGCCTTGAGAAACAGATTTTGTGGCGACACGGCACCCCAGAGAGAATTGAGTCAGACAATGGGACTCATTTCCGGAATAACCTTATAGATATTTGGGCCAAAGAGCATGGCATTGAGTGGGTATATCACATCCCCTGCCATGCACCAGCCTCTGGGAAAATCAAACGGTACAATGGGTTGTTAAAAACTACACTGAGAGCAATGGGTGGGGGAACTTTCAAGCATTGGGATACACACTTACCAAAGGCCACCTGGTTGGTCAACACCAGAGGATCTGCCAACAGGGCTGGCCCAGCCCAGTCAGAACTGTTACATATTGTAGAGGGGGACAAAGTTCCCGTGGTGCATATGAAGAATTTGCTGGGGAAGACAGTCTGGGTAATTCCTGCTTCAGGTAAAGGCAAACCCATTCGTGGGATTGCTTTTGCTCAGGGACCTGGATATATTTGGTGGGTAATGCGGGAAGATGGGGAAGTCCGATGTATACCTCAAGGGGATTTGATTTTAGGGGAAAACAGCCAGTGAACTCAATTGTATGCTGTTGCCTGCTGTGTAATGCTTTTATAGCCCATCAACTAGATGTCTCCAGGTCACCAGCGACTGGCCCTGACTTCCCTCCAGCCATCATCCCAACAGAGAATGAACTTTGAACATCATGGACCGAATGGACTCGGCAGCATTATAGGGATTGGTCCATGCACTAAGAAAATGATTTTTTCCTCTTGGTCTGTATGTATATGGATGCATATATGTGGGAGAGCGATGGTGTATTGAAAATGTAGGATCTGAGCACGACGTGAATGGTATGGAATAAGGGGTGGATAATGTCCTCGGTTCCGCAGTAGCAGTCATGTTTTTCCTTTGTGTTAACTGGTGCAGTGCAGTGTTTTGACTTTCAGCTCAGGAACAGAGCTGATAACAAGGATATTTTGGTTTGGCCAAGGACTTTGTGAGGCTCATGCTCTGCCAGGGAGGAGGGGAGGCTGTGAGGAAGCAGAGATGGGGCGCCTGACCCGGGCTAGCCGGGGAGGTATTCCATACCACAGCACGTCATGCCCGGGGTGAGGGGTAACTGGGAGTTACCCGGAAGGACAGGGGCTTCCGGGTGGGACTCGTTTTCTTGGCCGGTGGTATCGTATTCTCTTCCCTTGTTATTTTCCCTTATCATTGTTTTAGCTGATAGTAGCGGTGGTGATTTGTTGCTGGACTGTTCTTGTCTCAACCCGTAGGAGTTGCACTCTCTCGATCCTCCTCCCCGTTCCTCCGGGAGCAGGGAAGGGGAGAGCCCCGGTGCAGGGAGGCGGGGGGGGGAGACGGACACGGACCTCGATTGTTGTCAGCTCGGCACCACTCACTGGGAGTGAGTGAACAAGCTACCTGACTGGGTTTAAACCACGACAAGTTCCAAAGCACTGGAGGGGCCCACTGACCTAGATACTTGCCCATACTGTCCCACACACCCTGCCACTCATGACTGTCCACCCTCAGGGAAAATCTCTTGGTCCTCCGATATCATTGTCTAACCCTAGACAAGACCCAAACCCAACTCTGCTGAACTTTTTAGATCAGACAAAATGGTCGTGGGTAAAACACACTCTGTGCCAACATGGTGATCATCACCACAATCAGCAAGCAGGTCTCAAGGGTACCCAAAGGCCATCCAAAACCTCCAGAACTCTCAACTGATGTAGTCTGGTGGGGGATCTGGGAACATAAGGGAATGTCTCCTTCATAGGTTGACCACCCGAGTAGGGAAAAAAAGATGTGCAATTGCTAAACACTTCCATTATATACCTCCCAAAGTATAGAGGTGATGACCACACTGGGAATGCAACCCAGATCAGTTTCATAATCCATAAGCCTATTGTATTACAAGTCATTACCGTGAAGTACAGCGAAACAAGAACTTTAGCCCAAGCCCCCCTGCTGATAAACACTAAAACAGCAAATACCAGCTCTAAGTAAGGTACGACATGCTGAAACTCTGAGATCAAGAGCAACAACTTTGAGAGACAATAAATCAGCATTGTGATAACTGACTATTAATCCGAAACAATGAACGCTTATCACAAATACGATTAGACACACTCTGGTCATATCTGTTGTTATCTCAGTCTTTTGTGCCCCACACTGGATGCCACAAAGAACAGTCAAGGTTTAAGCCCAGCCAGTAACTCAGAACCACGCAGCCATTCATTCTCCCCCCCCAGCCTCTTCCTCCCCCCACTTCCAGAGGCATGGGGGGAATAATCGAAAGAATGTAACTCCCATGGGTTGAGATAAGAACAGTCCAGTAACTAAGGTATAACACAAACCACTACTGCCACCACCAATAATAAGAATGACAAGGGGAATAACAAGGGAAGCGAATACAACCGCTCACCACCCACTGATACCCAGCCTGACCTGAGCAGCGATCTAGCCCTTCCAGATAACTGCCCCCAGTTTATATAGTGGGCATAACCTTCTGTGGTATGGAATACCCCTTTGGTTAATCCGGGTCAGGTGTTCTGTCTCTGCTTCCTCTCAGCTTCCCCTCCTCCCTGGCAGAGCATGAGACTCAGAAAGTCCTTGGTCAGAGTAAACATTACTGAGCAACAACTGGAAACATCGGTGTTATCAGTGTTGTTCCCAGGCTGAAAGTCAAACACACAGCACTGCACTAGCTACTAATAAGGAGAAAAATGACTGCTACTGCTGAACCCAGGACAACAGTTCAATGAGCTTTCATAACATCTATGAAAGTAACTGTCTTTTTGTGTATAGCCTGTAGTGTGCATGACTTGATATTCGGACTGAATAAAGACATTTCTTTCACTGGAACTTGCTTTCATTCTGGACTGTCCGATGCCAATGTGACTCAGTTGAGGTGACTGAGCACATAGTGACATACAGCCTATGTGGAAGAAGCGAGTAACATAATATAAACACACAGGACAATGCCTCATCTGGTGTGAAACACCCCAAAGCCAGTACATGTGTGCTGGTGAGCCCAGATTAAACATCTGGCGCTGTGAAACTTCTGCTACAACTTACTGAGCCTACAAGCTCAGTAAATATAATTACAAGGGAAGCATCAAACTGGTCTTTGACATGGCCAAATACAACTGGTTCAGAAGCTTGCTTACCTTTGCGTACCCCAACATGATCATCCGGACCAGCATGACATTTATGTGAATGCCGAGGGATTCATCATGGTAAATTTCATTCACCTGAGGAAAGACAAAAAAAAAAAAAATTAAAAAGAAAATCCCCATTTATGATACCAAGGGAATTTCCAAGACCATGTAGATGTTATTTCAAGTGCTTATACCATTACGCTCTTCTCAGAAGAGGACTCAAGTCTCAAACCATTTCCATGCAGTGAGAAATGTAGATGACACTTCCCATCATCACATGTCAAGACTTCTCTCAAGTAAAATGGCCTTTGGACCAGGGCCACTAGAAAAGGTGATCAAGGAAAAGGAGACTTCAAGTTCAAACCCTGCACATATGTATCTGAATGCCTGATGTTACTCATTTGATAAACACAATGAGGGAGATGAGGTTATTCCTGAAAGCAAGGTTATACAGTGTGTTCAAGTTCCCTGAGGGATTTAAAAGCAGATAAGAGTTTGCTTTAACAACAGATAAACCCATCACCATCCATCACACGTGGCCACCTCTGCTGTGCCATCTGGCCACTCTTAACTGCAGATGAATTTCAGGCTCAGTTCCTATTTGTTTCATGAAACATTTGTTTCACGAAACATTTGTTTCACTTCCATCAGTTTAAACACATGGGATGAGTATTTTCACAGGGAAAGTGTGTGTATTTTTGTTCATTTTGTAAAAGATTCTGCTGCCAGCAGCTCTCACTCAAGAAAATGTGCTGTCAACTTCAGCGTAAGTTTGTCCTCAGAAGATACTTGAGGATTTGACTTAAAGCCATTTTTGTGTTCTGAAGCTCTAGGTTGGGAAGGCAGAATATTGAGACAATGGCATGAACAATAAAGCTCCACTTCATAGAATTACAGACTAATTTGGGTTGGAAGAGACCTTAAAGCTTATCCAGTTCCAAACCCCTGCCACAGGCAGGGACACCTTCCACTAGAACAGGTTGCTCCAAGCTGTCCAACCTGGCCTTGAACACTGCCAGGAATGTGTTTAGATTTGAAAATGTGAACAGTACTCCTGATTCTAAATCAATCTTAATGTTAACAGGCAAAGCATTTCCAAACCCCAGAAATACTTAAGAAATTTTCATCTGAAAGTTTTGAAGTCAACAGTGTTGCCAGAGACATTGACGCTATTGTGCACCTTACAGGGTAATGGTATCTCCAAACACACTTGATTTCTGCAAGTCAATGCCTGCCATTAAAAACATTAACTACATGAAAGCACATAGAGTTTATGCAGTCTGGAAAGACTGACTACATTGAAAACAACTGCTGGCCTGAGAAAACACCCATCCATAAGACAACCCCATGAGACCTCAAGACTCTACTCCTAGTTTACATCCCATCAGGGAAGAGCCAAGCCACAAGACAGAAATCCTGAGGTATCACTCCAGTTCCACTGCTCACTGAACCACTGAAATAATTCATGGTGAGTTTCACTTTGAAGAACTTCTTTTTTAGAAACAGCTAATACCGTTGTTCTACATTTTAGAGATAAATTAGAATTATGTGGTCACTTTTGTACTAAAAAGAGTGTTTGTGGAAGTGAAGCCAAAAAAAAAAAAAAAAAGCCAACCCAGAATTATGCAGATGGGTCAAAAATTGTTCTTCTTGAGGGCCTTCCTTGTGTCTGGGAAGATGAGAAATGGCCTGCCACCAGAGTATACATTAAGGGGCTAAAACATCTGCAGATTCTCAATAAAGTTACTCATCCCCTTAAAAACTAAATAAATACTATACTATGGGTAACTGGTGAAAAATAAATACTGCTGTTCAGAGGCTGGTATATGTGAGCAGGTTTAGAGTTTGATGGGTTTTTTTAGTCAGGCTAAACAGAATTTCCCCCCTTCCCCTCAAGGAAAAAGGTCATTCTGAGCTGTACAGACTGTGAGACCTGGCACAATGATTTTAACCCATGGGTTTTAGAAAGGCAATCCCTTTTAGGACCAGCTAAGAACCGGCTGTCAGCAGGGCAGTTTCACAAGGAATGAGCACAGAACTCAGCGTGCATGTCTTGTGGAGCCAGTATTCCGAAGTTTAATTATTCATCTCATATTTTCACCCTATTAACACAGCATTGCTCTCACAGAGGTCTGTGTCAGAAAAAAACATTCATAATTTACCTTATGCCAAGAAACAAGTCTCACAGGACTGACTTTCTTAGAGGCAGAATGGAATTAACCTAAAGAGTCAAGCTGCCTTCAAAATTTCTCCTCAACCCCATCTTATATCCCATTCTCTGTGGATTACTTGATCTACTACAGGGTTCCCACAAGGAGCAAGTTCGTATGTATGTTGTGACTGAGTCATAGAATCATCACAGAGTGGTTTGCGTTGAAAGCGAACTTAAAGCTCATCCAGTTCCAACCCCCTGCCATGGGCAGGAACGCCTTCCACTAGACCAGGTTGCTCCAAGCCCTGTCCAACCTGGCCTTGAGCACTGGCAGGGATGGGGCAGCCACAGCTTCTCTGGGCAACAAAACCACTCTATCATTCTATTACTAAAGTCTTGACAGCAACAAGTAGACTGCTACAAAACTGTTCCTTCCAAACCAGGCAAGGATCTTTACTGCAGTTAACCCACAGCTTCCCAGGGAAGCAGGGTTTTGGCTGGCAAAGGCTTGGTACTAAGAACTACTCCCAGCAGATGGAGCAGTAGGTGTTTAAGGAAAGCTGGAAGCGTTTGGGACTGTGTAACAGCTCTGCTATTTACCAAGTTAAATGCTTTTAAAACCAAAATTACAATATTCTGAAATCACCTTTAATGAAGATTCATTGCTGTTTCATGAGGTATGTGGTGAAAAGAAAATGATCCCCTGCAAGTACTGTACCAAGAGTATTTTGTTACCCACATGAAATAACAATTTTTCATCTCAAACTTTCTGGGTTCAAAACTTCATTTGCTTCCATGGCTGCCAAAACTACATTACCTCCTATTTCACATTCAGCAATAAAAATTACCTGTGGTGTTCGGGACAGCCACAAAGAAGAGGAAGTGATGGAGAGATAAAGAGCTGCAGGTAGCGTATGTGCATGAAGACCCATGACAGAATATTTAGACTTATCCAGCACTGTCTGTTCTTATTGAAACTCAACATGAAGCTCTCACTGACTAAAACCTGCTTACAAAGAAGGCGATGCCCACAAAACTGCAATGCTGAGTGGACAGTGATCACCAAAAGAGGAATTCTGTCAAAAGCAATTTGGAGTTTGAGAATGAATGATGCATGGAGGTATCATCTAATGGCTCTAATTAATCTAAGGATCATCAATCACTCTAATGGCTGATTTGGAGTTATTCTCAAGAAAAAAAAAATAAATTGAAAGATATAAACACTGCCAAGTCCAAAACTGCTTGGAATCCCTCAGTATGACCCACTGCCCTCTAAGTGTACCTTTCTGATCTCAGCTGCTTTCCACTGTACTTCTGCAGGGTCTCCAAGGGATGCTCCACGGGGGATTAGCAACAGTGCCAACACTGTTAACATCTGGGAGATGGAGGCTACAACTCCCCATGTGCTCCTAGAAAGGTAAAATCAGGAAATGGCTGATCCTATCACCTCAAGGAATTCAGCTGCAATGCGCCTGTGACGGGCAGGCCATTGACCTACCCAAAACAACTCCTGTGAATGCCATTCTCTCCAACGGGTGATTTTAGCAACCTGGGCTGTGGGATAATGGTAAAGCTTCACCAAAAAGCTAGGGACCACACTAGATTTCATTGCTTGATTCATTATCACATTTGGGCTTCTGACTCCCAGCGTGGACCAGTAACACCCATGTCAGACGCTCTGCTGATGCTGCATTTTCCAGCCTGTTTCTCAAGCCAAGAGTGCGTAGGAATGTTGAGCATAAAGAAACACCTCAGGAATTTCTTCAGCTGAACCTGAACCTCCAAGACCTGAAGTTCTCAAGGGCATGGCAGGGTTGGTTTCAGCAAGCCAGCTCTGGCACTGAGAACAGTGTAGTTTTGTTGACATGGGATTGTGACCAGGATAACCACGTTTGGCACAGGGTTGAAGGAATACCATTTAATGCAGCTTATTTGCACTTCATCATATTTGTTCTTTTGAAGCCAGCTTGCATATGCTGCAGTACATGAGGCAAAAGTGCCCTTAATCTCCCTGCTTGGGAAGACAAGTCCCAGCGAGTTACCACCAGCCTGGCAGAAATCCCCATGAATACTCGTTACACCAATCACAAATTGCTTTTTGTCTAGAACCTCCCATTATTAAGAAGAGTAAAAGATACAAGTTTTAGGTATGCAAGGTTTGGTTCTTAGACCTTCACACCACTAGATCCAAACCTAAACCTGAACCAAGTCAGTTTCATGTCTATCAATCAGGCAAATTGTGCTGAAATGAGTGGAACTGACTGCACCAGCTGCAGTCCTAGTGGCTGATGATCTTCTAGGAATATGCAAAGACTTGCTCATGCGCATTTTTGACTCCCTCAACCCTAAAAAAGAAGCTTCTGCTAACAGAAAGATAGTTACTAGATGTACATTCACAGTCATGAAAGTCTTGTGGTTGATTCACCAGTATCTCAGAGGTGATTCACAGAGCATTCTGGGTTCAGCAGCTGGTTTGTCCTCAAAGACCTTCACCCCGACCTTCCCAACACACCACACTCAAAGGCTTCCTGTACGTGTGTCAGAGGAGGGGAGGAAGTTACCCTTAAATGCACAGACACCACTCAACATCTCCTTATCATCAAACAGGTTCTACAGCATCCATCCCCCTCTTGTTAGAGAGCAGCTTCCCTGGCATGCAAAATCACCACAGTGACCTAAACCACAAAAGCTCTCCATTGCATGAACAGTAGGAAAGGCCCAAGACCGAACACAGCTCCAGGCTCTAAACCCAGCACACTAAATTCTGGTTTTCAGTTACAATGTGTGTGTATGTCTTAGTCGAGATTTATAGCACAGCATAATTCTGTACAGAGTTATTCTAATTCTACACCGAGTTTTGCTGGTTTAAATTAATTTGGAGATTTTTTTCCTCTTCTCAAATCCTATGGATTACATTTTTAAACTGCTGATCCTCATTATTTTGGAAGCTAATCTAATATCTAATCTAATCCAAAAGGAGGTGCTGAGGTTTGGCATCTCACTGCACACCCCTGCAGGCAAATGGGGCAAAGCTTCAACCACAGAAAGGCATTAGGAGCAGAAGATGCTCTAGAAAAAATTATCAGTGCAAGCACATGAACTAACCACAAATCAAGGCCTGAAGGCCAAACACACTCTATATGCTGGCTGTCTCTCCTGGAGGGGAATGTTGTGTGCTAAAAGGAGCTGAAATGGGGTTTGGAGATGATGGGTAGAAGTTGTTTTGAATGCTTTGCAATAGCAAAAAGGATTGAATTCTCTCAGTTAGAAATGATGGTGGCTGATGGGACGTAAAGAAATGCCATAAAGATTGTTTGTAAGCCTAAGGAATCATTTTTAAATTATTCCAGGAATACAAAGGTGAGTGTAAAAAATACAAGGATTTCTACATTCACCAAGTCATTATTAATAGTAAACCTACTTATAATCTGTCCTTAGGATATTGTTTTTAATTTCTGGCAAACCTTATGATCCCCACCACACTGAGATGTATCTATGAAAGTTTGACACTTACATGCTTAAGAATAGGCCACACATTGCAAGGGATTATACATCCCCTTCACATTCCTTTCATGCTTTTATTTCAGATTTCCTCTAAGATAGGAAAAAACAGAAAATGTTTAAGCTTGAGCAATTCTAGCACTGAATGCTGGTATATTAACTGACTTTCAATGCACAGTGTGAACTGTGCTCTTCTGTAACATGCATTTCCATAGAATCTGATCATGTAGCTCCAGACTCTTTATCTTTAAATATGGTATTTTGCCATTGATTTTAGAGCCAGAAATGTACATATAGGCAAAAAAAAAAAAAACAAACAAAAAACACAAAAAACCAAACAAAACCAAACAAACACCTTGCTAAGCCCATGAGACACTCCATGATAAAGCAGTTCTGTAGGTGTCTGCTCTTTTGCAGCTGCTATATGAACACCGGCATTGCCACATGAGTTAAGGAACAGACACGGCTAGAAGGTCTGTTTTCTTTCAAAGAGCCATTGGGTGTTTAAAACACGTTTTTGCACAGCATGTTTATCCTTTAACCAGGCTTCCTTCACAACTGTGTTGCAGGAGAAGCCAGGATTTATTACGCATGTATCAAGTTTACATTATTTCCCTACTGTTTCTCAACTATTTCCAAATTCTTGGAATTATCCTAGAAAACTACTGTGAAAAAGATCAAAGGGACATCTTGAAAAGAGAGAACTGTACCCAACAGCAGACAAAATGACCATATTTATATTTTTACCATGGTCTCTTAGATACTCCTAAAGAGTCAATAAAAGCCTGTGTCATTCCAAAACAAACAGTACAGCACTTTGGAAGATACTCACTATGTTCATGAGGGTGAGGAGATAGTTTTGAACGTGTTCTTTGCCATGGAATCGGATGACAGAGTCATCCACGCCAAGCAGCACCTCGATGTTGTAGTCATCATCACCCGCATGCCTGCGTCGCCTCAGGGTGCTATTTAGCTGCTGCTCCACTCTGCTGGATAAGGAACTCAGCTCTCCAGGGACACCCAGAAGAGACTCTGCAAGAAAATGACAGGCTGAGAGCTGGGCTTGTGCAGCCTGGAGAAGAGAAGGCTCCTCGGAGACCCCACAACAGTCTTCCAATACCTGAAGGACTTAACAAGAAACCTGAAGAGAGGCTTTAGACAAGGGCCTGTAGGGACAGGACAAGGGGGAAGGGCTTTAAACTGACAGAGGGGAGATTGAGATGAGATCTAAGGAAGAAGTTCTTCCCTGTGAGGGTGGTGAGGCCCTGGCACAGGTTGCCCAGAGAAGCTCTGGCTGCTCCATCCCTGGCAGTGCTCGAGGCCAGGTTGGATAGGGGTAACCTGTTCTAGTGGAAGGTGTTCTAGTGGCAAGGGGTTGAAACTGGATGAGCCTTAAGGTCCCTTTCAACTCAAACCAGTCTGGGATTCTATGAAATGTTAAGACATTAATGTCCATTCTGATTCTGTTTCAGAAACATCTTCACCTGTGTTTCAGAAACATCCTCACCTGTAGAGTCATCATTTCCTTGGATAAAATAAATCAAGAACTCTAAAGAGATTATTCTGGTGGTGCAGGAGGAAGGGAAATCACCAGATACCCAGTGAAAAAACTAATTCAACTATGTGGTTCTATAATATATCACACACTTGTGATTTCAAGCATAAAATTCATCCCTAAGGAGATCTAGGCCAAATACTTCCCCTCCTAACCCAGAATTACCCCCGCTGCTTTTCTTGCCTCAAATCAGGCCTTTAAATACACTTCCCTGTCAATGTCACAGAATACTGGGTGGGTTCTTGAAGACACTGGTCAAGGGGTAGGTTTCAGATGAACCATTCTGAACTGGCTTTTAAGGGGTATGTTCAACAGCCTATAGCTGTAATCACTCAGAAGCTGTTTTTTCCACTTAGTACAGCAAAGCAAAACATCACCATGGACTTTTGAAGGCAAAAAAAGTCACAGCTGTTACTTAGTTCTTCCTAAACCTAAGCCAGCACACCAACAGGCAATAAGGAATTAACAGATGCCTGTTTGGACATATTATAGTGTCCTCACTGGGAACCGGTGTGTTCTTGTGTCTGGCTCCACGACAGGCAAGGAGCATCCTCATTCCCCCACTCTTCCATTTAGAAGAAAGAGATGATACAACACTTAAATACACATTTCTTCCTGCTCCATGAACCTGGCAAAACCCCCCTGCATCCCATGGATAGAAAGGAGTGTATGGTTCTGCCTTCCACTTGTGTTGACTTGTACTGAAAGGGAGCATTTCCCCAAATGAGAGCAGAGCTTTTGAGCCCTTTTCCTCTATGCTGGAGCTGATGAAAGCCAAGGTTGTTGCAAGTACACACAGACTGGCCCTTCACATGCTTCCAGCCAAGACTTCCAGTAAAGTGGATGTAAGTTTTGCTTGTGGAAGGACAGCAGGACCAGGCCAATGTTGCAAAACATGCTGGATGGCCACACCACTGGGAACATCAAGCTCTGAGCCTTCCACCTCGTGAAATGTAATTTACGTATTTCTTTCCACAGAAATCCCAAACCTCCCCTGACTGGACTTGGTGGTGAAAACTCAACTGCTTCACCCGGCCTGGCAGGCAGTGTATTCCACGAGAGGTACCAGGACTCCTGAGGATATTCATAGAACCACAGACTGGTTCTTCTGTCTTCTATTGGAAGAGACCTTAAAGCTCATCCAGTTCCAACCCCCTGCCACGGGCAGGGACACCTTTCACTACACCAGGTTGCTCCAAGCCCTGTCCAACCTGTCCTTAAACACTGCCAGGGATGGGGCAGCCACAGCTTCTCTGGGCAACCTGTGCCAGGGCCTCACCACCCTCACAGGGAAGAACTCCCTAATGTCTAATCTCAATCTCCCCTCTGTCTGTTTAAAGTCCTCTTGTTCTGTCCCTTCAGGCCCTTGTCAAAAGGCCCTGTCCAGTTTTCCTCTTGGCCCCACTCAAGCTACAGCTTGTTGGTAAGGACCCAGCAAGCCTCATACCTCACTGGGAAGTGAAACAGTGGGATCTTCTCCCTAAATTCACCTACTAAACTGCTGTGCCCCATCCAAACAATCCAGGGTAGTAAAAGTGCTCTATCTGTTCTCCATAACCTAGCACTTAAGGGGGTCAAACAATCAGAACCAAGCCTCGGTTACATGTACTAATGACAGCTCCTTTGGAAAATGCTGCAATCTGCACCCATCACCAAGCACTTAACAGGACATAAGGGCAAAGAGATGACAGCGTGACACAGGAGAAAATAGACCAAAATGACAAGATGCAATGTTCCCATAGCCCAGTCATTAAACCACTTTCCTCGTGCTGTTGCTCATGATTCAGCTGAGTGTTGGGGCATTAGTGGAAATTTTAGAAGAGCTCACAGAGTCAATGAGTCTTTTCATAGCATTAAAGTCCATTCCAAATGCTTTGACCAACTTCAAGTTATTTATCATAATGGATCACAATTAATTCTGGCTGATTCCTAAGAGTCTGTTCTGTGTTTGCTGGCTTCTGCTGAGGCACATGGAAGGGAGAGTAGCAGATAACTTTAGTGAACAGCACAGAAAGCCTCCTCAGATGTGTTCTGTTCAGGAGATGGCATTATTATTCTTATAAATGCAAAATGCACAAATCAGAACATCCCAGGCAGGTGGACACAAACACTTTAGATATTTTACCTAATCCACTCTACAGAAAGCTGTCCAAGTTTGCATCTGGACTGTGAATCACAGTGCTCCAAGTAAGACTAATTACAAAGCCAACCCCAATGTTTACTATGGAATTGTAGTGAAAAGTATCCTCTATCTCCTTTCCGTACTGAGACCTTCCCAGGTTTGGAAGGGAAAGACATCTGCAGTGCTAGGAAATGGGCTTTACCTATTGATACTGCCACACACTATTGGATCTCATGTCACAAACCCCAGCTAAGCCTCTGGAGGTCATTAGACAACGGTTACAAAATGCACAGGCTGGGACTTCCGCTGGGCACGATTACAAGTTTTGCATTGAACAGAGTGTAAAGAAAATTGGCATTCGAAGGAAAATGCACAATAATCTTTGCGTGTTAAACCATGGCTTAGGAAACCCTCAGGTACTTGAAGGTGGCACAACTCTACTGAACATCTGCAACTATTTACATCCATGGGTGGTTTCAGCACTAAGATGAACAGCTGACAGGTAGGCAATGCTGCAGATGTGTTACCTGAATGCCACAGGAGTGCCTTTGGACACCCCCTTACCTTCATGTTGGAGCTGCTGTCACCACATGGTGGAGAAATCCATCTTTCCTGATAAAACTCTTCTCTACAGTACAGAATAAGCAATTCAGACACAAGGAAAAGTTCAAGGAACAACCCCCTTGCTATGAGTGGGGAGAGATCACAGCAATGCTTACTGAAGGGAATTATTTAAATGAATCATCTGAAAACAAAAGTTCTTTGCAAGTTAATCTATCCGGTAGTGCTGAGTGTCTAAAACAGCCAAGAGGTGACTGTTACCAAAAAGCAATATTCTCTGTTACACACAGAGGAAACCAGTCTGCCTGTCTGGGGATTTGTGCTAGACAGACTAATCCTTCCTAATCCCATTCTGGAATTAGCTGTTTCGTTATCTCCTCTTTTTTCTTGTTTTGCTGCTTACCTGCATCTTTCACACCATGGTCTCACCTGTCAGAGAAAGATTTGTCTTTCCTCAAGTGAATCAGTCCTGCAAACATTTGGGTAGGAAGGGAGAGCACAGAGTGATGTATGCACATGTTCAGGGAGGTATTTCTTTTCTCACACATTCCTTTTTTTTCAGAAGGAAATCTCCCCCACATCCTTTGTCACTGTGTTTTGCTGAAAACCACGGCTGCTCCTCTAGAGACCTAGAACCACACTGCTGGAATCAGATGGTAACTTTCTGTTCAGCAGATATATCTGTGAACCCTTCTACAGGCCAGGAACATTTGCCTCCCTTCTAAATCCTTTTTCAGAAACAACTTTTAACATAAACACCTACATCAAAAATTGGGCATGACTGTATCCCTGCTATATGCTTTCCTGTATTAAAAGAGGCCAAAAAGATATTCTGGGTTACAGCACGTATCTTTCCTAGAGTGTAATTTTAAAAGAATGACTCTCTGCCTCTTCCCCTACTCTTACATAAAGCTGGGATCTGCTCAAGTCTAATTTCATGAGTTGTCATTGAGCAAACCTAAGAATACCTAAAGAGAACCCTAAGCATGGAAGATTCTTACAATCTGATTTTATATTGTAAAATATATGGGCTGAATTTTGTGATACACTGCCACTGATACCAGCAGTATAAGTACACTGCACTGATACCTCTATCTATCCATCTACCTATCTATCTATCTACCTATCTATATCTGTCTCTGTATCTCTACCTATCTCTGTACCTAACTCTGTTTGTCTATCCCTGTATCTATCTATCTCTGTATCTCTATGTATATACGTTCCTCATATATGCTTACTTGTTTAAGGAATAACAGGGTCTATCTTCAGAATCAGATGGCTACAGCCCTGACTGCTTCCCTCATGTCTAAGAAAACCCAGCAAATAAGAGAACACACAACCTCTGAGATGTACATCCGAGTACCAGCAGAGATTAGTGCAGTGTCAGTATAAACCTGCCCACAGTCATGGTGCTCATTCCCATAAAGCTCATCCAATTCCAACCCCTGCCATGGGCAGGGACATCTTCCACTAGAGCAGGTTGCTCCAAGCCCCGTCCAACCTGGCCTTCATGTATCATTAAATCAATCTGAAAATAATTTTTATTCCACAAAGGAGCACACTTAGAGAGTCTTTGGATCCATAATTTCAACAGTGCATTGTAAAAGGTCAGGGCAATTCAGAAAGGGGGAGAAAGTACCTTGAAAGCCCACCACATTTTGAAAACACAGGTGGCATTCATAACTTATTTGCTAACTCAGAACTTTCTGGAAGAAGAAATGCTGGATAGCTTGAGCTGTCTGCAGTTTTCAGCAGCTTCCCTGAGATCCATAAAGCTTCAGAAGATTTGGCATC